ATTATTATTATTATTATTATTATTATTATTATTATTATTATTATTATTATTATTATAGAGTTCGCCATGGTAGTGCATGCCTTTGATCCCAGTACTTAGGAGACAGAGAAAGATGGATTTCAGTGTTTGAAGCCAGCATGGTCTTCATAGTGAGTTCCAGGATAGCCAGAACTGCATCATAAAAACCTGTCTTAAAGAAACAAAAAAAGAGATGGAGAGATGGCTCAGTGGTTAAGAGCACTGTCTCCTCTTCCAAAGGACCCAGGTTCAATTTCCAGCACCTACATGGCAGCTCACAACTGTCTGTAACACAAATTCCAAGGGATCTGACACCTTCACACTAATGTATATAAAATAAAAATTAAATAAATTATAAAAAAAGAAACAAAACAAATAATAATAATAATAAATAAAATTCAAAAAAAATGAAGGAGGAAAGAAAGGAAGTCAGAAAGTCCACAACAAAAACCTATCTAATCCCTGTTACTGGTGTTCAGATTCCATCTAAAATAAGCAGAAATTCATCTGCTAAGTTTTATAAGAGATAGTTTAACTGGTCTTTGAATTAAAATCACTCATCAGACTTCTAAACACCTAAAAAGTATAGAAAACTATAACTTATAAATTTAAAAGTAAAATTTATATTATTATACTAGACCCAGAAAGAAAGACATATAGACTCTAAGAAATCTGAAAAGCTGATGATCTGCTCTATATAAAGTCCTATACCCATCTACATCATTGACACTGGGATAAAGTATGCCGAGTCAGCATAGCAAAGGCATTCTCAGAAAGAAAAACAAAGGTATTAATTCTATTGTCAGACTTAACAGAGGTGTGTGTGTGTGTGTGTGTGAAAACAAGGTATCAAATAACTCAGCTTCACCTCAAAATTACTATGTGGCTAAGAATGACCTTGAACTTCTAGTCCTTCTACCTCCATCCCCCAAGTGCTAGGACTACAGGCCTGCACCAATATGCCCATCCTGAGCTGCTTCTGAAGAAACAAACTATATATATCTGGAACGACACTAATGTGGTACAGCTATTCAAGAGCATTGAAAATAAGAATGCAAAAGCAGCAGGGAAAATAGAAAATTAAATGGCTTACCTAAACCTCATAAAAACATCATGGCTTTTAGTAGCCTCTCATGCCCTCATGTAAACAACTATGATTGATAACCAGATCTCCTTAGGAGTTTGTCATGGCCACAGGAAATAGAATCTGCCTAGCTAGTAAGAGTCTGGGTTATCAAGACAGTATAGGCTGAAAACAGGTGGATCAAAAGGTCTCTCTTGACCTCTACCTGCCCTCTAAATATTAGTCACTGCTTTGATGCTAGCACCAGAGACAATGAGATGACATGCCAGTTTAAGTATCTTTAGCATTCAACAGTCTCCTGTGATCTGCTTCAAGGCACTTACCCAGATTTCATGTGGTAAGCTTAAAAGTGAGAATGAAGAGATATGCAAATATCTAAATTGTAATTTGTACTTTTTGCCTTTTAAGAAAAAACTAACACATGTTTCTTGATATTCCTTCACACACAAATGTTTTCTTTCTTTCCTTTAAAAAAAAATCTTGATTTTCTTTCCTAAAGATTATTTTCAATTGGGTTTCCACAAAGGCTAGAGGTATCGGGAACCCTGGAGCTCGACTGACAAACTACTGTGAACCACATGACATGGGTGCTGGGAACTGAAGTCTCAGGTCCTCTGCAAGGGCAGTATGCACCCTGGGCCATCTCTCAGCTCAATGAGTTTTTCTTGAAGTAAATTCAGACCGTAAATTTTTTTAAATGTGTAACTTATTTTCATTTTATGTTCATTGGTATTTTGCCTGCATGTATGTCTGTGTGAAGGTGTCAGAAGCTCTAAAACTGGAGTTACAGACAGGTGTGAGCTGCCATGTGGGTGCTAGGAAATGAACCAGCGTCCTTTGGAGGAGCAGTCAGTGCTCTTAACCACTGAGTTGTCTCTCCAGCTCTGACCATAAACTTTCTATCACTTGATTTTCTACAATAAATCTGCACATGTAAAATGAACCATGGTACTCACACATAGAGATCCATAGGGAATTCCTTCATCATGTGTGTTACGATGAACTCCACCATCAGGTCTAAAAGGGCAACAGAGAAAATTACACCAATCACAATGAAATTTCCTCCTTACCCTTGAGTTGGAGGTGGGGGAAGCTTCCAAAACTGCACCCTTGTGCTCACACTGAATGGCATCCCCGCAAACATCTGCATGATTGTGCTCACACTGAATGGCACCCCGCAAACATCTGCATGAGCCACATTGATTTTCTAGGCCACTTTTTTTAACCTTGCCATTTGGAAATTAATAAGCAAAATGCTTCATGCACTATACATTTCAGTAAAATGGTTCACTCTCCTGTAAGTTAACAAGATAAAGATCTCACTCTGTTTCTAGAAAGACGTGCCAATAAATTTAGATACAAGGGAAATTCATTATACACGTAACTCATACCATAGCACAAACACAAAATGCCAGAGGGAAATCTGAGACTACAGCAATGAAGCAGGCAGAGACAAAAGTTTGGGATCCTTTCACAGAAGCAGAGACTCAGCTCTAAAGCTATGGCAGTCTATCCCAGCTCACAATCATGCTGTTTGACAAAAATAGACTGAAATGGTCTGTGGGGCTTTGTGACAATAGAGGCTTATTATATCTTAACTACAGTTTCTAAAATCAGGTAGATTCATAAATTGAGGCTGAACACCCAAGTGAAAATGAGATTAAGAGTTTCAGTAACTGCTGGACAGTGGTGGTGCATGCCTTTAAACCCAGCACTTTCAAGGCCGAGGCAGGCAGATCTCTAAGAATTCAAGGCCAACCTGGTCTACAAAGTGAGTTCCAGGACAAGCACGGCTAAACAGAAAAACCATGTCTCAAAAAAGGAAAAAAAAAAAGTTTCACTAATTCCTCTGAGGAAAATACAGATTTCTGGAGAGAATCACCCGAGATACAGACCCTATCTATTAGCTCTCACAGCCCACCTCAACTACATTTACTCAAGGGAAGTTTTCCATGTTTGAATCTCAAAATATAAACTTTCTGACTTTTTGACACATCGATGAAGACCATGAAAGAGAAGTAAGAATTTGAAATCTTGGTGAAAAGTAAGACATACTAATTTTTGTCCCAGGAAAGGGTTTTTTTTTTTGTTTTGTTTTATTTTGTTTTGTTTTTCATTTGTTTGTTTTTGAGCTATAGTGTCCTTTCCCTGAGCATTCTAGTCACTAGGGTTGGTTTACAGAAGACAGTAAAGAAAGCTTCTTCTGTAACAATGCTGAGGAAAAAAAAAAAAAAAAAAAAAAAATCAACCAAAATCTTAATCAGGAAAATCTATCAAAGCTTCAGAAAATGCTGTTCTGATGATCTTCACTCACCCAGGACTGCACACACCAGGGGACGGCAAGGAAGGTTCTTGTCAGCCGCCTTTTTTCTGTGTCTCATGGGCTTCAAAAACACACAGAGAAGAAAAGGAATTAGCAGACACTGGAAATCCAGTGGTTTATCATGTTTCTTATAAAATTAAATCCTACAAAGATTTACTCTACAGAGTCCATCTTGTCTGGCTCTTTCGAGTGGTGCAGGTTAGCAGGGGGAGGAAAGGAAACTGCTTCTGAGTTATGAAGGTCTGTGACAAAAATACAATTTACAGCAAGACAAGAGTCCCAAAGGACACTGGTATACACTACAACATGACAAATGTTGTTCCTTCATTTTATGTCTATTAAAAACAAGTAAACGTAAAGTCACACCTACCATTCTATGTAAGTTTACTCGGAAGTTCATGTTGTCATCATGTAAAAATGCATTGGCATACTGATCCTGATAAAAATAGAAAAGGTAAGATGTGATAACTATATTTAAGAAACTCAACTGAAAGCTGGGAGCAGTAGTGCACGCCTATAATCCCAGCACTCGGGGAGGCAGAGGCAGGTGGATCTCTATGAGCTCGAGGCCACCCTGGTCTATAAAATGATTCCAGGACAGCCAGGGCTACCTAGAGAAACCCTGTCTCAAAAAAACAAAAAACAAAAACAAAACACTCAACTGGGCATGATAGCACATGCCTATACTCTCCAGCATTTGGGAGGCAGAGACAGGAGAATCAGGAATTTGTGGTCATCCTGAACTATACCACCAATTTAATCCCAACCTAGGCTGAATGAGACTCTGAAATGATGGAAATACAATAAAGACAAAAAAATAGAAAGAGCAAAAAAGACAGAAGGAAAGGGGTCTGGTAAGACGCTCAGTGAATAAAGACACTTGCCACCAGTCTGAAGAATGAACTAAGTTTGATCCAGGCACCCCACATGATGGGAACCCTGCATCCCATATAGTTGCAATCGTCTGACCTCCATATGCAAGCCAAGACACATACATTTATACACACAAACACACAAGTAAATAAATATCTTTTAAAAGGCAGAAAGAAAGAAGAGATAGAGGCAGGAAGAGAGAGAGAGAAAGGAAGTAGGAAGATTTAAATGAGGGTTTTTTTTTTTTATTGCTGTTTTTTTGTTTGGTTTGGGTTTTCAAGACAGGGTTTTTCTGTGTAGCCCTGGCTGTCCTGGAACTTGCTTTGCTAGAGCAGGCTGGCCTCGAACTCAGGGAGATCCAACTGCCTCTGCCTCCCAAGTACTAGGAGGTGTATGCCACTACCAACCAGCTGGAAGGTAGGAAGAAAGGAAAGCAAGCAAGAAGGCAACTATTTGTAATCATACGTCCTACAAATAGTCTCTCTCCTCCCCCAAACTCCAGCCTAGGCTGATCTCCAACTCCCTATGAACCTAAGAATAGCCTTGAACTTCTGACCCTTCTGCCTTCACCCTTACCTCTGAGTGCTGAGTGCTGAGTAGACATACCAGTTTATGTAGAGGTATAGATTGAAGGAAGTGCTTGGCCAACTGACATACACCCAGCTGAATTCCTTGGACCTTCATGAACTACTTTCAGGATCAGTTGGAAAGCTAGTGATAAGCCTAGAGCCTTTACATCAATGAAATTGAGTAAAATTTCCCAGTATGTCTTTACCTGGTCAAAGATCTCTGAGAGAATAAAAAACAATAAAATTAAAATCCAGGGACTTGAGACAAATGTTGAGAGGAATCTGTTTTCCTATTCTCTCTTCCGTCCCATCTGCCCAAGGAGTCAGCTGTGTTTGTGACAGCTTGGAGGATCTCACAGGGACAAGAAGACACATGTGCAGGCGCCACATGAGGCTCTAGGAACAAGAAAGGCCTGTGCTCTGCTGGGAATGAGTTCAGCACAGCAGGAAACAACTGCTATACTGGCAGCACAGAAGCAGGCAAGACCCCATCTCTCTTTGGCTTTTAAAGACTGATGGAAAAATCAAACCCTTCCCACAGTATACTGGAAATAAGCATCCCTTGGCCCTTTCCCAACTCCTTCCTGAGATCTGACATGCCTACAGCCTCCAATTACTAGGAACTGTTACAATTTGTGAAAACAACTCCTTTAAAGATTTTTTGAGCGATTTTTGAAATGCAATTATACAAGACCCACTGATAATAAGCAGCTCTTCTAGAACCAGCTTTCCCAGCCTTGTGAAAAGAGCTCATCTTCTCTAGAAAATACAAGAAGGGAACTGTGAGAGACCACTATATTCTGTGATTTACCTTGACTGTTGTCTTAAAAAACAAAGGCGAGGGCAGGGAATTCTAAAAGGAGAGGCTAAAGCTATCAGTTTAGTCTCAATTGTCTCAAGTTCCATGATGCTTGGATGTCACTAGTCTGAGTCTAGTCAATCCTGCCAAAATAGCCCTCACAAGAAGCAGTGAACTGATAAGCACCAGCTTCCTGACTGCAGCTACACAGTGAAAAGGATTGTCAGAGGCTCCCACAGTCATGTTCCTACAGCCATGTCTCCATCTCTGTGATGGACTATATCACAGCAAACAAAAGGAAACCTCCCTTAAGTTCATTTTTAAAAATTACACTATTGTGTGGGTGAATGTGTGCCCATGAACTACAATACGCATGTAGATGCCAGATTACAGCAAGAGTCAGTCAGCTCTCTTCTGCCATTATATGGATCCCAGGGATCAAACTCAAGTCATCAGACTTGGTAGCAAGTGACTTTACCAGCTGAACCATCCTCCCACACACAGACTGCAGCTTATTTGGAATTTGGTCACAGAAATGAGAAGAGTAACTCATCCACACCTCTTTGCCCTTCAGCTCTTGTTTACCCCAATGAAACCATTCTGTTCTGCTTCTCTTCTACTCCTCTATCCCCAAGATACCTTAGGTCCTTTTTTAATTTACTAAACGCAAAAGACACAACATGGGCAGCTCCAAAGGGAAATGATGATTGGTTTTCTAGAAAGTTTTAAGTCTTTTGATTAGAACTGTAACGGGCCAGAATCCAGATGGAGCTCAGTTGGTATAGTCTTGTCTAGCACACATAAAGCCCTGGGTTCTATCCTAACACCACATAAGACCATTATGGTGGTATGCTGTGTGCCTGCAATTCTAACACTCAGGGGGTAGAGACAAAAGAATCAGAAGTTCACGGTCATCCACAACTACATAGAAAGTTCAAGGATACCCTGGACTTTAACAGCCCTTCTGTCTTAAAAAAAAAAAAAAAAGGTGATGGATTGAACAGCAGCCAGAATGACCCATGCTATTCTCAGCTACCATAGTTACTACATCAGAGTCTCATCTCACTGTAATGGGCAAGGAAGACCTTGAAATTCTAATCTTTGTACCTCCACCTCCAAAGCGCGGAGTAATAGGCCTATGCCATGCCAGGCTTTTTATGTGGTGTTGGGAATGAAAGTCAGGACTCCATGAATGCTAGGCAAGCACTTGACTTACTGAGCTACATTTCCCAGCACCTTGAGGTCCATTACTAATTCCTTTAAAAGTGCTAATTGAGTCTACACTGTGTAGACAACGAGCCCTCAGTGATGATGAAAACAAAGGCCCTATGACCAAAGCTCACACTCTGGAGGAAGGAGATGAACAACACCAAGGACTCTCAAGCCACCAAACAGAAAAGAAATTGATCCTACACACAAGGCTCACAGGAAGACCTACCTCTGCAATACACGTGAGAATGATCAAACAGAGCTTGCCACTGTGAAGTCTGTGTTCATCTGTAAAGAAAAAAATAATCTCTTCTCTATACATAACCCAAACCACATGTCTATAGAGGACAAAGATGCACATCACAGTCATATGTTCGCATTCCACAAATAGCATGAATGAAGGGCTGGGGAGATAGTTCTGTCAGTAAAGTGCTTGGAAAAAAAAAAAAAACAAAAAACTTGTGACACACTTAAACCCAGCAGCTCTGAGGACATAGGAACAGGTCTCCTGAAGCTCACTGCTAGCCAGCTTTACCTACTTGCTGAGTTTACACCAGTGAGAAACTTGTCTCATGGTGCTTGAGGAATGACATCAAAGGTTGCCTTTGAACACACACACACACAAATCAAAACCAAGATGGTACTGACGTGAGTCTTGCTTTCCTACTAGGCAAAGGAATTCTCCCAGAAAAAAATGTTTTTCTTTAGGCTGGTAGCCTATAAAATATCTTTCCCAAGATGTAATCCTTGTAACCATTCCTGTTCTCATGCCTACATATTTTCTTCCAGTGCTGGGGATTGAACCCAGAGTCATACATGTGGTAAGCAGGAGCTCTGCTACTGAACCATACTGCCCAAACCTAATGCCTACTTTAAAGATCAAGCAGGTTTCTCTTTGAGGTAACAACACCAAAGACACAAATACCAAGGGTTTTGGGGTTTTTGTTTGTTTGTTTTTTGTTTTCAAAATAGGATTTCTCTCTTTTATCCCTAACTGCCCTAGAACTCACTCTGTAGACCAGGCTGGCCTTGAAGTCAGAGATCCACCTGCTGCTTCTGTGCTGGGATTAAAGGCATGCACTACTACCAGCTACCAAGGATTTTTTAAAGGCTAAAACCAGAATCCAAACAAGGGAATGAAAATATAAAATTCCAGAGAATAAATAGGAAGGAATGATTGAGGAGGCAGCTTCAACAACATAATAACATGTTTTTTAAAATTGAGTAGCAGGTTCACATTGATTTTATTACTGTACTATTTATTATACTTCAGAACATACAAACCAACTAGAAGCATTTCATAGGGTTCTGCAAAGACAGTCAGTGTTAGAGTGTTCTTCCAGAGGAAGTTTCTAACATACATGTGAGGCCAGCTCACACTGTCTGTAACTCTACCTCCATGGGGATCTGACACCCTCTTCTGGCACAACCATGCAACATACAAATGCACACATACACAAAATGAATAAATGAACAAATCTAAAGAAAAACATTTTAGAAATGTTATTTTTTTAAAAAGTATCTTAGAGCCAGGCATGGTGGTACACACCTTTAATCCCAGCACTTGGATGGCAAAGGCAAATGGATCTCTGTGAGTTCAAGGCCAGCCTGGTCTACAGAGCAAGTTTTAATCCAGTCAGCTATATGGTGAAAAGGTTTCTCAAACAAAACAAAAAGAAATCTAGTCTGGGACAAAGAAAACATTAGGTCTACTGCTCCTAAGATCATAATAATGTAATAAGTCTCAACAGTAATGTGAGCCTGGGGTTGTGGTTTAATGGCATTTGGTTCCCATGGCTAAGGCCCTAGGTTTCACCCCATCACCACAAAAAAACACAAGTGTAAGAGTTATAATAACAATAACAATGATGATGTGATCCTGTACCCTGGGCATGGTATAGCAGATGTTGGTTAGGACAAGGGGAGAAACGGGCAAATGGAGCCATAAAACAGACATTTTTGAAATAAATTATCCCTCACACCTAACCTTGTCCTTTGCCATACTTAAACTGCTTGTTAGCAAAGATGTACTGCATTCTATAGACACTGTGACCATACATACTGGGTATTATTTAGTCCTTAATTTAGGCTTGCATTTATGAACCTGAAGTGACCAGGACAGAAGCTTATATAACTGGTAGAGCTAAAAATGCTTCCAGAAGCCTCAATTCACTGTGTTATATCAAACAAAGTAAAAGTTCATTTTTCTGGGTCACATCCATGCAACTTTTCCTCTGTGGTTGCTACAATATTTGTAGAGAAAGGAAAAGGCTACCCATTTCCATAAAGAAGCAATTGCCTCAGGAAACTCAGATACACAAGAGCCTTGTTCTCCTTGCCTGCCAGATCTCACCTGGCCATGTCTCAAAGAACCAACCACCTCAGCAGCTCCCACTGTTCTGTTAGGAGCTGGGGACATGGAGTATCCACCTGTAGTTAATCCCTGTGCATAGCTCTCACTCTTGAAAGACTATCACAAGATATAGCCCAAGTTTTCAAAGTAGAGATCTCCAGTAGCTAATGCAATGTCTGAACATAGCAGAGTGGAGACTCTAGCTCTGCCCCCCCTTTTTTTTAATCTTTTACTTTTCTAATCCCTGTCTGTTCCTGTTTACTTCTCTCTCCAGAGCCCCTGAACCTGGTCTATCCTTCCTTTCTAGAACTCTTGAAAACCTTCATAAAAGAAACCTGCTCACTTGGCAAACAAAAGCCTTCTAAAATACAAACCATGCTGAAGTGAGCCTCAAACCACCTCAGAGGCAATATACTCTCCTCACAGAAAGTAAGGCACCAAAACAATCAATTTTAACAATTTTTGGTTCCACCATAAAGTTAGCTTTTATATCTGGGAATCTGAAGTTATTCATAGACTAAGTTAATAACTCAAGTGGGCATGGTAAAGCACACATATGGAACTCCAGCACTTGTAAACAGACAGGAGGATCAAGAGCCTGGAATAAATACTTGAAGCCCAGAAAGAAAAGGAAAGGAAAAGACAAAGATGAAGAGAAGAAAAGAACAGTCATGTTTATACTGGTAGACTGGTGTTATGTCCAGCCTTCATCAGGGAAGGCTCTTACTGCAACAGCCCATACTGTGGTGGTTTGAATGAAAACAGGCCCCACAGGCCCATAGGAAATGGCACTATTAGGCATGTGGCCTTGTTAGAGGAAGGAGTCACTAGGGGTGGGCTTTGAGGTTTCAGATGTTCAAACCAGGCCCAGTATCCCTCTCCCTGCTGCCTGCAGATCCAGGTCAGAACACCTTCTCCACCTCCGTGTCTGCCTGCATGGCGCCATGACAATAATAATGGACTAACTCTAAGCCAGCCCCAATTAAATGGTTTCCTTTATCAGACTTCCGTGGTCACACTGTCTCTTTACAGCAACAGAAAGCCTGACCAAGACACCATGGCTAATGCATAAACCCAGAACTGCCGTCATGTGGAAAATGAATGGGGGTGGAGATGCTTTGGAGGTATCAAGAGATGGCTCAGCGATTAAAAGCTCTGGCTCTTCTTCCAGAGGCCCTGAGTTCAAATCCCAGCACCTGGATGGAGCTTGTAACCTTCCTTCCATAACTGAAGTCCCATGGGCTCTGATGCCCTCCTCTGGTGTGCACACACGGAAACAAAACACTGTAATCCATAAATAAATAAATCTTTAAAAGAAGAAAGTAGAATTCAGACTTGTTGGGAAGAGGCTTTCAATGGGAGAAGGAAGAAGATCAAAGATCAGGACCAGACCTGGTACTGCATGCTTTAATCCCAGAACTGTGGAGGCAGAGGCAGGTGGATTCTGTTAGTTCAAGGCCAGACTGGTATACACAGTGAGTGCCAAGCCAAGCCACACAGGGCTATACAATGAATCCCTGTTTTAAAATTCAAAAACAAAGAAAATTTAAATCTAACTTAAAAAAAACTATTATAATTCATTATATAAATGTAAGAAACTGTCAATTTTGTAAAAAGAAAAAGGGATAACTGAAAAAAAAACTTAAATATGGTCTGAATTTTACTCTCTAATGTGCTATTAGAGAGCCACTGTTGATTCCCCCTGCCCCACGGTTACCACTTTAATCAAACTCAACAAGAGCTGTCTAAAGGTATCCTCTACCCATGGTAGCAGTGACTAAAGCACCTTTTGTCCCCACCTCCCTGGACGGTGGTGGAGGAAGTACAGGCCAGGCAGGCATGAGGCGCAATCTTTACTGGTCTCACACCAGTAGTCCATGGGTCTTGAGGATCTCTGTGAACTTGCTGATTTTCTCTTCCACGTTCTTCTCTGCTTGTTTCCGGAGCCTCAAGAGCTGCTTTTTCTTCCGTTAGTGGATCTTGGTCTCTTCCTTCCACTTCTCCAGAGTGGCTGTCACTGCCCGGTACTTCTTCCTCATGAGCCAGCCGCCCCAGGTAAGCAAACTTTCTGGTAGGCTTCAGCAGCACAACTTTGAGGCGGCAAGGACCACCATCTGCTTTTTCTTGTTAAAGGGTGGAGGGATTCCATCCAACACCTTGAGGCGGTCCAGGGTAGCCTGCCTCGCATAATATGCCAAAAAATGCGGCTCGAGGCTCTGAAGTAACAGAGGTCTCGAGAGGGGTTGGTGTTCATCCGCTTTCGGACAGAGGCCAAATACTTTAACTTGTTTCCGTAAAAGTTTCCAGAAATGCTGATGCCCTCACAGAGTACAACCACCACCTTCCAGCTCAGTAGTGCCTGCTTGGCCACAACAGCCGCCAGGCGGCCCAGAAGATGGCCTCAGCCATCCAGAACCTGCCCCTCCGCCATCTTCAACAGCTGCCTGGGAAGCTGTTGATTTTTTTTTTCTTTTTAAGATACAATAATAATTTTAGGTATCTAGAGAAATGTTTTTAATTTTTACAGATGAATGACGAAGTACTTAAAAGGGAAGTCTGCAATGTCCTTTAAAGTGCTACAGCCAAAAGCAGTAAAATACAAAAAGAAATTTAAAGGCAAATCAAACACAGCAAAATGTCAGTGGGATATAGACGATCATTGTACAATTATATACATATATATATATTATACACACACACACACAAAAAAAAAAAAACAATCTGTCTCAGAAAACAAAAAGACAAAAATCAAAACCAAAAAAAGGACAAGAAAAAAAGCTATAGCAAAATTAGGAACAAAAGACCTGTAAAGGAAAAACAACCTTTTCCAGCACCCAGCTGAGCAAAACAATGTTGTGCTATTGTCCTAGGTTCTGGTGAGACTATGCCTAGGATCCCAAAGGTAGACTGGTCAAAATAATAAGTTCCTTTTAAAAGAAAAAAAAAAAAAAAAAAAAGACCCAACACCCAATTCTTTCCTTCATACTGGCTATATCTAGGATTAGTACTGACAGTTCTATTTTTTTTTTAAGTTTTTTTTTTTAAGATTTATTTATTTTATGTATGCGAGTGCTCTGTTTTCATGCACACCAGAAGAATCAGATTCCATTATAGCTGGTTGTGAGCTACCATGTAGTTGTTGGGAATTGAACTCAGGACCTCTAGAAGAGCAACCAGTGCTCTTAAATGCTGAGTCATCTCTCTACCCCAAGATAGTCCTATTTTAAGTGATAAGAAATGCACAAGAGACCACTAATTCCTACCACAAGCTGATGTTCTTGGTGTTTGTCCTCAGAAGGGAATTCCCTGACGCATCCTAATCCCCTCACCCAACTTCCCACAGAGAAGAGCCTACATCCACTTACCAAGACTTGCTAAGAGGACTTCCTAATTTTTGTAGGAACCAACTTTTTTTTCTATTTTTAAGCACTCTCCTCCAACTTCAGGTTTTCCCAGCCGGGAAAAATCACTGTTTTCAGAAACCAGGTCCATCACCTGCACAGAATGTCTCAATGGTTCATCTGTCAAAGCCTCAAATACAGACACTGCTGTTTGATGTTTGTCACTGGCCACACCTCCCAAGGCAGCATGTCTTACCTTTCGTGTCCTGCATAACAATTGAGCTATACTTTAAGAAGGTTATCAGTAGATTACTGGTCTGTACATCTGCATCCAGTGAGAGTTCCACAGAACTTATAGCTGGAATAGAACAAATAAAACACTTAGCCCGAAACAGTCCACCCAGCACTTCTACCCACACAGCCAATTTGCCAGCAGGCAAAAATGACTAAATAAGCTTTTCCCATGACAAAAGGAAGGCCAAGTATGTTCCATAAATCTTTAGCTGCTCTTACTAGGCCTCTAAAGCCTCTCTACCCACACTCCCAAAAGCCTGTCAATCTTCTTTCTCATCTAGAATCAGTCCAGAAAGTTTTTCTCCTGACATCCTGGACAAGGATGTTGATTCCATTTCAGCCTCAAGTAATCACAGTTCAAGGTCCTCTCAGAGGCACTATCATTTCTAACTAAAGGAAAAAGTTTCATTGAATATAAATGAGTTTTGCTTTGATGAGACTCTTGCTTAAAATAAAGGAAGAGTTCTTCCTAATAAGGAGAAATTTTGCTCAATATTGAGAACAAGCCCTTACACTAAAAGTACCCAAGATGAAAGGAGCAAAAGTTGAGGCAGAACTATGTTTAAATTCTACCCCTCAATCTTTTCCCCTCTGAAAGGGAACCTAAACATAATATCAAACAGAAAACAGGTGGGCATCCCTGGAATTGGAAATTTACATAGCTAGCCTCTGTTTCCAAGAGAGGACCCTTTTGCCTACTCTGTCAGCCTCTGGGAGTCATGGCCCCAATGAACAATGGGGAATCAGAACAGAAGTGACCCAACCACAACAGCTTTAACCTGGAGTTCCCAAGATTCAAAGATTTCAGTTAGAATTAGTCAGCTTTTTAAGTGTTTTAACTGTGTCTAAAACATAATACTTATACAAAAAGAGCCTCAAGATGGCCCAGGGACATTTGAAAATCTATAACTGCTTTATTTTAGACTGTGAACACATTGCTAGGTTTGGGGTATCAGTCATAATATATATTCATAACCATAATGGATCCCACTAGAGTTATTACAATGCATGCAGAGGATATTTATTAACAATGGAAAACATTGTACATTATGGTTCCACAATACAAAGCAAAAAAACCTTTATGAGAAGAAATGAGCATGTCTGACCCTTGGCTGTTTTCTCATAATTTGGCCCCTAAGAACATATACAAGATAAATTTATTTTTGTAGTGAAATACTAAAATATTTATAGCCAGATTGGGTGATAGAGTAAGACCTTATCTCAAAAACAACAAATAAACCTAAAAGGTCTTAATTCATGTTATGGTTTAATACCACAAACTATCATTTCAAACCACAGCCATTTTGAACTCAGAACCCATAATCATTCCTTTGTTATCTAACTGGTAAGTAGAAGTTTTACCCCACTCACACACAGTGATAACTAGAAAACTATCTTACATAATATAGTAGAAATGTAGAACTATATGTATTTTTAGTTTACCAGAAAGTCCTCTCATGCCAAGGCGGAGCTGTCAAATGTCAAGTCTGAGCTGCGAACAAATGTTACAGCTAACTGCTGGCTTTTAAAAATAATAGCACCAGTGACATACCTTTAAATATAACTGGGCTACAGAAGAGCACTACAATTAAAAACCAAAAACTGAAAATAAGGCTATAATACTTAGGACCCCTACAGAAAGGAAATGAGTTAAGGGAGAAGAAAAAGGCAGAATCAAATCCCTCACAAATTAAAATCTCTTTCCTAAGCAAACTTCAATCCTGAATCGTTGGCTCTATAATTCTTCCCAGTAGCTTTTGTCAAGAGAGACAGTCATCTGAAAGTGGGCTGGCTTGATCTGCCCACCAGAAGACTGAAAGCTCAGTGGTTGCAGGTAAGCACAAATCCTACCATTGCATAATCAAGTGTGTGGGTGAAGTGTTCACAATCAACAGTTTGAAAGGCAGCTTTCTGAAGCATCCAAACCCCAACATCACATGGAACTGAGATATATATACACATTCACTCACACTCACACACACACATAGATGGCTTTGGATATCCATGGAAACTAGGCAAGCTTCATCCTTAAAGAGAAAGTACAGTGTTTCCATTGGCTCATCTACTGACCTGAATAAACAGACAAATAGGCAATCCTCACCATGCTTCTTCTCATTAAGATATTTAGAATTTGGCTTCTAATTCTAAACAGATCCAATTTGCTGTCATAGATCTGAATATCAATGACGCCTTCTTGCCATACTTCTCTGCTGCTTTTATTGCCTTAAAATAGGAATGCACAAGTGCTATATAAAAATGTAGGGGCTGAGCTGGGCAGTAGTAGCACACGCCTTTAATCCCAGCACTTGGGATGCAGAGGAAGGCAGATCTCTGTGAGTTTGAAGCTAGTCTGGGCTACAGGACAGCAAGGGCTACACAGAGAAACCCTGTCTCAAAAAAACAAACACAAAAAAAAGTAGAGACTGGAGTAGAAAAGAACCTGATAATTATGTGCAAAGCACTAATTAAGACTGGAAGAAAACAACCTCAAAGAAACAAAGAGGGATGTTTTATATGTGAACTGAAAAATAAAGGATCAAAGTTAGATTTCTTTCTATTTTAAGAACCATTATTGTTGTTGTTGGATGGAGCTCATGTGGCATGACATAGATATAAAAGTCAGAGGATATCTCTTTTTCCACATTTATGTGGATAAGTAGGGATCCAATTCAGGTTATGAGACTTGTACAGCAAGTACTTTTACTCATTGAACCATCTTAACTGTCCCAAGGTTAGATATTTCTGAAACTCATTTATATAAAATGATTCAACATTTGAAGTATAACACCAATTATTATTGTACATTTGTAAAAATTGTTTCAGACAGGTCTCATAAAGCCCAGGTTGGTCTCAAACTCACGAAGTAGCTGAGGATGATGTTGAACTTCTGATCCTCCTGCCTCCACATGTATCACAGGCATGTGCCACCATGCCAGAATTTTACAAGGTGCTGATGACCATATCAGAACCTAGTACATGCTACACAAGAAGCACTCTACTATTGAGCCACATCCTTGGCCATATATTTATATAACAAAATAAAATATCTCCCCTGAGCCTCTCAAGCACCCCAAGAATACCTGCAGTACAGGCATTAGTCAGCTCTGCAGTCACTTCCAGCTGTTTCAGAATTCTAAGATTATCAAAGGAGGGCAAAGCAGAGCTACAGTTTCTCAGATTGTGTTTGATCATTTGGGGTTTTTGGTTTTTTATTTGTTTGTTTGTTTGTTTTGTTGTTTTTGTTTTTTTTTTTTGTTTTTTTTTTTTTGAGACAGGGTTTCTATGTGCAGCTTGGCTGCCCTGGACTCACTTTGTAGAACAGGCTGGCCTTAAACTCAAGAGATCCACCTGTCTCTGCCTCCCAGAGTGCTGAGGTTACAGGCATGCACCGCTGCATCTGCATGTTTGGAGTATTTTTAAGACAAGGTCTCTCTATTACATAGCCCTGGCTGTCCTGGAACTCACTATGTAGACCAGGCTGGCCTCAGACTCACATATTTCCACCTGCTTCTGTCTCCCACTACCACAACCCTGACTAGTAATTTTTTTAATGTTTCATGCAGCCAAGGTTGGCCTCGAACTGATCCTCCTGCCTCCAGCTCCTCCAGCTGGAATTACAGGTATTACTACCACACATGGATTTAAATAAATTGTTTTTCTTTTAAGATTTCTCTTTAGCCAGGAGGTGGTGGTGCATTCCTTTAATCCTAGCAATTGGGAGGCAGAGACAGGCGGATGTCTGAGTTCCAGGACAGCCAGGACTATACAGAGAAAGCTTGTATCAAAATCCAGAAAAAAATTGATTTTTATTATTTTTGAGTGTGTGTGTGTGTGTGTGTGTGTGTTACATGTGCTTGCAGAGCTGAAGTCTTAGGTTCTCTGGTAAGTTTTTTTGTTTGTTTTTTGAGACAGGGTTTCTCTGTGTAACCCTTGCTGTCCTAGAGTTCCCTGTATGAACCAGTCTGGCCTCAAAATCACAGAGATCCACCTGCCTCCACCTTCAAGTGCTAGCTACCACCCAGCAGATTCTCTAGCAAGTTACAAACACTGAGAGGTGCCTAATGTGGGTACTGGGAACTGAACTCTGGTCCTCTACTACAGAAGTATGTGCTCTTAGCCCCTGAGCCATCTCTCCAGCCCTACATGTTCCTTACACACAGAAGAAACATGCCACTCAACTGTCTTTTCAAAATTTTGTCTGGAACTTGAGAAGGCCTAAAGAATAACATCATATACTTTCTTTCTTTTTAAAGACAGTCTTCTATGTCACCTAGGCTGGTCTCAAAGCCCTGTGCTCAGGCAGTCCTTCTATCTCAGACTCCCAAATGCTGGGAACGTTGGGCATATGACCCTGTTCCCAGCTCAGACATTTCTTCCTTTTCTTCTTCCTTTCTCTCTCCCTCCTTCCTCTTCCTCTCTCTTGGGCATTAAACCTAGAGCTCATGCATGCTGGGCAAGCAATCTACCACTAAATTATATCCCAATCCCATTTTAAATTTTAAGACGGGGCCACAATAAGTTGAGCACATTGGCCCTGAACTTAATATGTAAACCAAGCAGGCCTTGAATTTGGAAATCCTTCTACCTCAGCCTCAAGTAGCTGGGATTACAGCTGTGCACCAACCCTAATTACCCATTTATACAAATTAAAAGAATTATTAATTAAAAGAATTAACAACTGTATTCTTTGCTCAGTACAGCTGTGCTTAATTAACCCTGAAAGATCTAAAATCATCTAGGCAGTGGTGGTGCATGCCTTTCATCCTAGCACTCAGGAGGCAGAGGCAGGCAGATCTCTGAGGTCAAGGCCAGCCTGCTCTATAAAGTAAGTTCCAGAACAGCCAGGGCTACAAAGAAAACCCTTTCTCCCAAAAAGAAGGAAGGAAGGAAAGGAAAAAAAGGAAGGGGAAGGAAGGAAGGAAAGAAGGAAGGAAGGAAGGAAGGAAGGAAGGAAGGAAGGAAGGAAGGAAGGAAG